AAACAAAACATTTGTGTATTGAAAGTAAGGCCCATCCCTCACAAAATCTTGGCCACTTGAGACACACTTCAAAGTTGTTTTGCCATGAATATTATCACAAACCCCTTGTGTCATAAGAGTAATAGTCAACGCCTTAGCGTGGATGTTGAATAGTAGGGTACTATTGACTGGTTATCTTCCATCTGGTCATTATTTCAAAAGTAGGAATGACAGCAGGTAATCTTAGTAGTTTTGCCGTCAGTGTAAAATTTATAATAATTACATGTCACCAAATTAATGTAGATCATACCATAATAGTTATTGTTCAGACAATTTGTCTGTCGTATCCCAACCAGTCTTGGAATTGAGTGAAAGGCCTTTTAGCAGATTTAATGTGGTTAACATATTAAGTACTTTCTTTGTTACTGTCACTCATAGTTTCTCAGAATTACCAGGTATGAGTTGTTGTTTCTTTTCTATATAACATTTACTACACAGTGGTATAGGAAGAGGGGGCCTTCCCATAACTTTCGAATTCGTCTCAGTAAAAATACCTCAAAATTAGAAAAATTACTCCCAGGAAAATCTGGAGAACGCATCAGATCCAGAACGCAAGTGCTTCCAGGGCTCTGTCTAAGGCGAGTTTTAGACCCCGGGCGTAATGAGTGCTACTGAGATACACATTCCCCTCCCTTCATTTAGTCAAATAAACCTTGTCTCCCCCTTCCACACTTTCAATTTGCCTCCCATACCTCTACTATCAGTGAAATCTACATATTGATTTTTTTTTCTCTGTTGCAATACTTGGATTTAAAGAAATGGCAACAAAGTGTGAAATCACCATTTTATTTGTTGTAAAATACCCAAGAGTTCCACAACCCTCAGCAATAATTCATGGGATTAGTTGGAATAATGATGGTATTTGTATTTATTTGATTGATATGTTATTAGGGGCCTTCTGCTCAATAAAGTAACGATCCTATAAAAATATGTTACATAGTTTAGGAAAAGATGATGAGGTGTATATGGATCCAAATCGGTAATTCTAGGCTTAAGTAGTTGTTGCTGTTTTTAATGAAATTGTCCTGATGAGTCAATTAGAGTTAAATATTACCCAGTTAGAAAGTGTAGGTTTATAATTCTTTTGAAGAATCATCACAGGAAGTGAAAGAAAGTAATTGGTTGAGTCTTAAATTTGATAAAACTTGTCTACACTAGGAATTAAGAAGATCGAATTTCGTCCAGATGCAGGTCCAGAAGATACCATGTGTTTCAAATATTATAACGCCTCTGAAGTGAGTATGTTAGTCATTTGTATTTCGTTATCATGTCCAGCTTTTAATAACTTTATCTCCTAGAAATATCTGTAACTCTTAAATGATTTTATATTGTGTTGTTGATTACTCAAAATAGTACTGTTACGACAGCGGAAGTCACGTGACGCTGGTAACACGTGATGAATTTCTCGAATGATCATGAATTATCGGGTAGGCCCGAGTTTGTTCGAAACGCCCTCTTTTTTTAGTATATAAGCCTGTCAGTGAAAGCCTGTATGGTTAAAACGAACAGTAGTTACGGTAAGTTATCGAGATCGTGAATCGCTGTGACTTATAGCGTGTATTATAAAAGTTGTTAAGTTTAAAGCAAAGACGAACGTATTGACTGTGGAAATTCTGTGTACAACAAAGTTCGTATCGAGAAAGAATAAACTAGTTTTAATCAAGAAGGGATTTATATCGCTGAAGTTCCGCTGAAAGAATTTATACCGGAAATTAACAAACAAGCAGATATGTAACAAATCTGTGTCAGAGAGTGGGACGGAAAAAGAGAGAGAGAGAGAAAAAAAAAGAAG